TGAAAAATAAGTAATGTAATTGATTGCTATGCTTAACTGCTTCATCGGCAATCCCACCACAGAATGTAATTTGGAGAAAAGCCTGGCCTTCCTTGAAATTCATTTCTGCCCTGCTACCCAAGATCACTTGCGGCAATGTAGCGTGGTGATTATTATTTCGAGATTATAAGCTGCCCTGCCATAATTCGAGTCTTGCTAGGGGTGCCGGTGAGACCTAGGTCAAGTTAAAATTGTAGTCCATCCTGGATGATAACACCTTTTGGAGAGCAAACCTATGTAAAAATCAATGGAAATGCAAGGTCTACTCATATAGTTGTGGGAAAATTTTATTACCAGTCCCTAATCAACTTAAACGGAATAGGATGAACGCATCTCCTATATCTGATATACAGGCCTCGAAACCAAACTTACAATCGAATAATGTATTCAGGCAAGTTCAAACAAAATAGGCTACTAAAATCTAAATGGTAATGAAATGAAAAAGAAATGTTCTGAAAAAAAGATTTATAGAAATGAGCATTTCTGGCTTATTTACGAACATTATATTCGGCAGACATATTTTCTTAAAACAATGAAATTGTAATATTAATTCAATTAGTCCTAATAAGATTGAGTAAAATCTATCCGTATAGCCTGAAATGACTAACCTGTATCAATTTGATTTCGTTATTGATAGCATCCAGTTGATCTTGAATCATCATCGCCAGGGTTTGTGCGTCTGTAGGCCCAGCAGAGGTAGGAGACGAGTCTGCTCGGAGGCCACTACTCGTCGATCTGAGGTCTGGATCACTTGACTCACCTACAGAAAGTTCAGTGTTCAGACTTGCTCCACCATCAGTTTCAAAAGCCTAATTTGAATAATAAATCAAAGTATAAAGACTTGAACATGAGAGCATTTTAAATTATTATACATGAGCAATTTGCTTTACTTCAGCATAGAACGCCCGAGCGAGGAGGAAAATTTTAAGCTGCGTTCTTAGACATAACCTAGTTCTGTCACGTTCGGTCTAAAAGTTGTAATCAAGTTTATATGTTAGAATATATGAGAGAATAGACTTACGAAAAAATTTAGGGATTATGTAAAAGAAAGGAGTTGAGACTTAGGTTGGAGCCAAGGTTCATCAAATTTTCAAATTCATCCTTTGGCTAATCCAATTTCGAAATAAGTTCAAATATTT